CCAGACCTGATGTTACAATTTTTGTTAGAGTCTTAAGTAGATACACGTGTAATCTAGGTGAATGTCATTAGGAAGCCATGAAATGGTTGTTAAGGTATTTAAAAGGGACATCACACTTAGGATTAATGTTCAGCAAAAGAAAAACAAGAATAAAACTTAAAAGTTTTGTTGATTCAGACTTTTCTGGTAAATGTGATAATAGGAAGTCAACATCTGCATATGTATTTACTCTAAATGATGCCTGTAAAAATTGGAAATCTCAGCTACAAAAATTGGTTGCTCTATCATCAACAGAGGCTGAATATATTACAGTTACAGATGCTGTAAATGAAGGGATTTTGCTGAAAAATATGTTAAATGAAATTTTTTTTCTGATAATAATGTTACTATGTTTTCTGACATTCAATCAACTATACACCTTAGTAAAAACCCAGCTTTTACGATAAAACTAAATATATAGATGCGAAATTTCATTTCATAAGGGATATCATAAAAAAAAAAGATCATAAAAATTGAAAAGGTTTCAACTAAGTGTAGTCCACTGATATGGGAACAAAAATACTTCATTTACATAAAATTAGGGATTGCTTAAATCTCCTAAATGTTATTACTTATTAAAGTTTCTTTCGCATGTACATAGAGAGAATGAAACCAAAAGGAAAAGTTAACTGCTATGCACAATGAAACCAAAAAATATCAAGCAAGGTGGAGATTGTTAAATGGTGCTTGACATTTTTTAAGCCCAATGATGCAGCCCATGTTTTTGGTCCTTTAATGGAATGTGACCTGGCTACCCATTTATGTGCATGCTCGTAGTACCAAAACACGAATTTGGTTACTAAAGTCTAAAGCTTGAGAAGATGCCACATGGAGATGGGGCAACCGTTGGATGCTAGTGACCCTTTATATCCCTCGACTTCTCTCATTTGTGCCTAGGTGGTTTGAGATAATGCTAGGGTTTTTTCTCGTTTTGTTCTCTGTTCATTCTCTCTGAAAAATTTTGGTTTTCGTCTGGAATCTTCTTGTTTCTAGATGTTCTTGGTGAAATTTAGTGTAAATTGCAATATGTTTGTGATGATTCTATTCTTTGGTTGAGCAATTGGTCTCAGATACTCTGGTGTAATCGATTTTGAGAGAGAAAAGAGAGTTTTTTGGGTTTGAGGGCCAGATTCTTTGGATCTTCTGCATTGTAATCCTTGAATACTTGATATTTTGCTGGATTCTAGTGGATTAGCGTGATAACCACTTAACGTGGATGTTCAACGTGGTGATTAGCGCTTTGTGGGTGAATATCCAGGCCTACAGGGAAAATTTTTTGGTGTTTTTTGATTTTCTGTTGTTGCTTGTTGTTTTTTGGACTGTAAAATACCTACATTAAGCCCTTGTTTGAGCCCCATTTTTTTGGAAAGAATGAATTTTTGAATAGTGTATTGATCGGAAATGTGTGGTTAAAAAATAAGGAAAAATTTTGAATTGGCGTGTAACATTATTTTATTGAAGAATGTGTAGTTGAAATGATGTCAAAACACTGTTAAAAAATGTATTTTTTCCAAAAGAATGAGGCTCAAACAAGGACTAAATATTACATCAGATTGGAGTGTTAATATTATAGTCACCTTCTAGCCTTAGTTGTGAAGTTATCTCACCATGTTGCCGGCTTATTCAATTTGAGATAGGAACTAAATGCGTGAGCTAAAGCTCAGTAAGGGTAGTGTATGCCCGTGAAGTTTCTCAAATATGATGAGTTTGAGTAGAAGTGATATTTAAACATCTATATAATAATGTCATGGAATAAAAGGATAAAGCATTCATGCAATTACCTAAATTAATCACGGAATCAATGGAAGCCTCCGCATGTGTCCTCTCATGATATTAGCTCAGTAGAATTTTGAAGGCGTCTCTAAAATATCAAGTAGACTTAAGTGGTGCTTAATGACACAGTTAGAGCATTTGGCAATGTGAGATTAAGTAGTACACCTGGTGATTTATATCACAAGTAAACTTTTTCCCAAGGTGATATACAGTACTTGTAATTGTGCTATTAATTATCAAAATCTGTCACAGAACTATCCATTTAAATTATGGTGGAAGAATAAATAACATCTAATGGAACGAATAATCATAGTCACATAATCAGTTTTCTTTTATAACATAAGCAGAATGCACCCACTTTTGTAGGAAAGAGAGATGTCAATACAGTTACTAAAGTAATATTTTATGCCCATTTTTATTTTGCCTAACCGTTACATACCTTACTCTTTGTTGTCTTCAGGGGCGGACCCACATGGGGTCATGTGGGGTCAAATGACCCCACAAAATTTTGCCCCTGCTATTTATTTATTTATTTTTTTAACAATCTATTTTGATGCACTCGTCGGGATGTCAAATGAAGTCAAAATATTGCATTCTTAATATCATTTCGAAGTGCTCATGGTCTAGTTTTTCACTCATTAATGACATGCGAAGTGGTCAATTATAGCAAAAGTTATGACATGTTAAAATAGACCGTTTAAAACTAGTATTTTGAGAATTTCGATAATATCCTAACTTTAAAAATTCGTTTGCGATCATGTGCTATCTGAATTCACAAATCGTCTATGTCATGTGAAAGTTTGTTTCGAAAACTACATCGTTTTCATATCGAATGGTCCAAACGAATATCGAAAATAGTTAAATATGTATCAAACGTACGCCTCAAAAAAGACGTCTAACTCGTTTTATCTTTTAAAAAGTTCAATTAATTATTATTTTTGCACGATAAATTTTTTCATATAATTTATATTGTTTCATTCGGAAGTCTTACATGAAATATAACGTAAATTTTTTAGGGTCGTTACGGATTAAATATAATTTGAATTATTTTCAAATCATATTTGCTTTAAATTTGAATTTCATTTATTTCCTGAACTAAACTTGAATTTTATTTCAATTCATTTAATTTCTATATTCAATTTACTTTACTTAATGTTAGCTCAGTAAAATGATAAACAAAACTATACAAGTAACAAAATTTATTTAATAATATTAATAACGATGTAATTATACGACGTTTTCAAAGTGTTAAAATACATATTAACTTATTTCATTGATATTATGTTGTTTATTAAAAAAATTATTTTTAAAATTTTAACCCCACAATACTAAAGGTCTGAGTCCGCCCTTGGTTGGCTTTCCTTTTTTTATTGCAAGAAATAATATGCACATACATCTATTGACTCTTTAACATGTTTGCACCTTTTTCTGCTCTTACTGACATAAATCTATCCAACTCAACTAAAAACAATAATTTTTTTGTAACTTGATTAGCACCATCCGGCATCTGTTGTGTATTGGTTAGGTTACCTCTCAGCAATACTAGAGTCATTTTTATGTTCTCTCTCGACTTTTTCTTAACTCTGTTGTCTAGCATATTCATTAGTTTGCTGCATTGATTTTTCTGAACATGCAGGTTTCAATTCCACTCTGAGGCAGGTAATATCACTCACTATGAATATATTCAGCTTTGTTCGATTTAACTTATATGTTGGAAAGGGAAGAGATGTTGGGTTGTACCAAATTGCCTTGTTTGAAGGCAAAGCGGCTGGAGGGAATGGAGAGCAAGTTTTGAGCAGGGATGCGCACAGGATTGGACAACTTTTTATTTCTTCAGAATGCTATCTTTCTTTTTCAGTACTGTCGGTCACTATGTTTGCACAATGGTATAAATATTGCTTTTCCACTGGCGATGTTAATTGAACGTGTTTGTTATTGGTGTCTTATTTCATAAATTTGTCTCGTTCATCTCCTCTTTTTAATGCAGATGACAGTTCCTACTGTATATATTTTCTCGTATGGATGAGCATATCTGGTAAGTTTAATTTTAATTTTCTTTTATCCCTCACCCCCCGCCCCCCCAACGCCCCAGCATACAAAACTACAGAGTTTCATTTGTGATACAAGCAGGAGAAAGTCATCTTTTGCGTAACATATTCTTGAGAAAAAACTGCTGGCGTTTTTCTGGAGATATGTTTGGCCCAACTTTTACTGTTAGGGGACACAACGCTGAACTGGGATTGTTCGAGGTTAAATGTTTAAAAGTTGAAGGACCCCTCTTTTTCCTCTTCTTTACTTTGTAATGGGTACGACAAGTCAAAATCCTAATCACGATGCTTCATTATGTTCAAATTTTAGTTAGACTATGGATCTTAAGCACAAGTAGGATAGTTATTTTCTTTTATGAAACTAGTTCCAGGCCATGCAATGCATGGCTTGAATTTTGTTTAAGGTGATATTAGTGTGGTGATTTATATTAGTATTGAATTTTTATTGTAATTCACTATTTTTGGCTTGTTTCATTTATTATGCTCTAATAAAGATTTTCATGTAGAATTTTTTTTGAGCTGTTTAGATGGAAAATAGTAGTTATACTTTTCAAAAGGCAAATTCGCAGTAATAATTTTGTTTTGTGCGTGAAATAGGTTTTTTAAGTGTATATGAAAACTTGGTTATTATTATTTTTTGCAAATTATGTGAAACGTTTGTGCTGTAATTATTCTCAAAGTTTATGACATTTCCCAATGAGTAGCAAAAATAAGTGCAGTAGCATATCTGTTCATAAATATATTAGAAAGTTATATTTAAGGTATAAAATGAGAAGTATAAATATGGATTTGCTTTTATTTGTCCTAAATGAGTTGGTAAGAAGTATTTCTCTACGATTTCATTTGCAGTAGTTAATAAATAAATTATACTATTATAGATTATTTAACTTAATCTTATAAACATATAGACTGCTAAAGAAATTACTATGAGGGTTGATAAAAATTCTATAAAAATTCATATGATCAATTGTTTCAATCGTTTTATTGAATAATGATAATACATTTAACGAATATATAAATTATTTGCATAATGATTGTATTTAAAACACGTTGAATTAAACTTGTATAGAAAGAAAATTGAAATACAAATGGGATTATAATGATCACTTTCAAAAGTTGAATTAAGCATGTAGAGAAAGAAAATTGAAATACAAATGAGATTATAATGATCACTTTCAAAAGTTAATAGCGTTATTACAAAAGGAAGAAAATGAAACATTGATAAGAAATTGTTAAAACGGCAATTCTTTGATATACTTGATATTTGAATACATGATACTTACATGATGGGTGATGAAAAGCTTTTTCTTCTTGGTTTCAACATCAATCATGATAGGGCATACCTACTAAAGCAAGAGAAAAACTATTAGCAGAAGTAAAAAGAAACAAGAATAAAGTATATGTAGAAAAAATTGAGATTGAATTAATTAATGAATATAGACATTTATTTTGGTAATGCTTTTACCTTATTATAACTTTTGCTTTACATGATGGGGACATTATAAAAAAAAAAGTTACCTTCTTTGTTATGGTTATGATAAATATGGACGGAAAAAATATTCATTTTGACAGATATCTGTGACAATTTTTCGTTTGTATAAACGTATTTTCTCAGTTGAAACTGCTTCTAATGGATATCCGAAAATGAAGCATTCAATGTATTTGAGAAGAAGAACTCCAGAGTTTGGCCTACAGAAAAATAGTTTGAAGTTATTTTATAGTAATGCTATAAATGTAAAATAAAATTGAATAAAAAAATAAATATTAAAGTAAATTGTTGAGATACTTACCCATTATTTTGACAAGGTAGATATGGTATGATTTCCAATTTCATACGTTTATTTCTATGTTTTCATAAATTTGGCTTCCCGAAGAAAATGTCAGTAGCTATTAATAATGATTGTACTACATCCAAAACTGGGGCTGCACGTAACTTGATTGCATCTGGTGTATGAATGTTGTGGCTGCAATCATATACTTGAAATTTCCACTTTTCAAAATCAACAAGAAAAATAAACCAACTGTTGCCTGGATATGCGACTGGAATCAATAAATAGTTGTATGTTATCCAGGGTCGAGCAAATGTAGGTAATTCTCCTTTTGTGTATTGCACTAATGCCTGGAAATTATTCACAGGAGCGGTTGCTCCTTGTTTGATCGTTGTGTACCAATGAACACATTCATTCTCGAATCGAAAGTCCATGATTGCATATTCTTTGGAAACCGAGTAAGATGTATCATGAATGAGTCTTCGCAATAGCTTTAATTCTATATCAATATGCTAGTAAAAAAAATTTTAATTAGCTATATTAATAACAAGTAAAATTAATTAAGATTTCTAAAGTTGACTTACCACAATATTTATATCTTTAATTTGATTTATTATATTTATCAGCGAATGTCTTGCGTATTGATTGCCGATTTCATCTTTCCAGTATGCACTATATAAGAAAAAATGAAATTGTTATTAAATAAGTAAAATACGAAATAGAATATTTAAGTTAACGAAGTTAAATTTAATATCTTACTGTGATGGATTTTCTGATATCCATTCTCTAATGTTTTTGTATTTGTCGATGTTATAATCTTCTAATGTATTCGTTGCCGTTGGTGATGGAGATTGTGTCTCTTTTTGCTTACCTTTTTTTCTTTTGTTGATCTTTCGATGTCTTCTACATGTTCAGATGTTGAAGGCATTTCAAATTCAGCTTGATTTGTTGGAGGGGGCAAATCATGTTGTACAGATGCTACAATTGATTCCATATGTGATTTCCAGTTGGTTAACTGATTCTGCATATTTCGATTTTGTTCATCAATGTAAGACTTCATTAAACCGAAACTGGTATCCACATAAGAATGCATGTCAGATTGTATGCCCTGAAAATGTTCCTGTTGATTTTTTTGCTGCACTTCAAAAAATTGTTTTTGATTGTCAAGAAGTGTCTGACAGAGAGTTTGTTGATTTTCAAGAATCGTATGATACTGAGCTTCTTGCTTTGTTGCTTCTTGAATCATCTGTGTTTTCAAGCTGTCGTAGAAACCAAAGACATCTTGTCTGTGTACATTGAACATCTGTTCCATATCTTGTTTAGTTACATAGTCTGAAGTACCGGAAGAAGTAGATTCAATTCTATTTGAACTGTGTACAGTTGTTTCTTGTGGATGTATGTTATATGCTCGAATTTGTTCTGTTGTATTTTCCAATTCACCATTGACAATGCTGTCTAGTGTATAATGTTGGTTATCAATTGGCAGTGAAAGAGTTGTATACCAGAATGTTTCCAATTCTGCTTCAGTAGGATTTAACGTTGCAATTACTGTAATCTATAATTGTAATATTGTAATAAAATATCAGACATATTCTCTAAAATTTATTTATAAAGAATAAAACATATATTTAATTGTATACTGAAATGAACATACCTCTTCAGTAGCTAAAAATTCTTTAATAACATTTTCCGCTAATACCATTTGAGGCTGCCATTTATGTATTCGTGGACATTTTAAACTTGTACAGATACAGTGACCAAATTGTCGTCCAATTTTAGGAAAAGATTCGTATATCCAATACTGAAATATAAGTAAAAAGGAATATTAACATTTTTACATGATTAAATTATATCGAATAGGGAATAAATGTAAGAAAAATACCTGGAATACAAGTGGATAACCATGCAATGAATATTTACATTCTGCTTGGTTATTTTGTTGCATTCTTCGTATTCTTTCAAGCTGTGATTCTTGTAATGAATGTAATAGAACAAAATATGCCTTACGTCCGCATGGATACATAAGAAATTCATCAAGCTGTTCAACCATTCCAAGAGTTCTGTAATCGATGTGTCTTCCAGTTGGTTTTAAAACGCATTCGACAAACATAACTAATCCCAACTTAAATTTATCTTCTCAATCTTCACATATATGAAATACTTCAGAAAGTCTTATCATAGTTATTCGTTTTGAACCATCGAAGTATTCATCTCTAAGTCGAGTATCACTAAAATTTAGATCAATAGTAGGTTCATGACATGGCAATCCAGTTATGAGACAAAATTCTTGTATGCCAAAATGAGCTACACGATCGTCTAGTTGTACCCAAACTTCGTTATTTTTACCACAGTTTATAAGTCTCATTATGAACTCATGTGTTAACTTGCTGCTAAATTTGTCGTTTTGCTTCTTATTCATATTTCCACAAATGAATCCATGGAATGAACTGCACAATAAAGAGGCTTGATCATCTGCATTTATAAGTTCTACAAAATCTTTAAAATATTGATGATTTGCAAATTGAGTAATTGTAGCAAAAAACCATTGATTTGGAGATAATATGTATTCTAGTGACATCTGCAAAAAGTAATAAAAAACTGTTTAGTAGTCAACAAATTTATTCATATGCTAATTTAACATAATTTTTTAGAAATTGGCTAATTTTGTTCATGATGATGAATAACATTTTAGAAACTGCAACTTCATGAAAAAAAAATTAGTATTATATCTATACTATTTGAACCATTGTGTTTTGTGTTTGATGTGAAACTGTATATATATATTGTGATGGAAAGGATAATTGGTTACAATTGTATGAAACTTTATGATATTTTTACAGTTTCATATTAGAAATATAATAGTACAATATATAAATCGAAACAACATAATTTGTACTATGATTGATATGTAGTTTGAATAAATAAAATTTGTTAACTTTAATATTTATGCAATATATTTAAAGCAAAAATTATACGAAAGTTAAAATAAATCAAATGATAGTTAATAACTATATGTGTATAAAACATAGAAAAATGAAAATTTTGATTAAGTTCATTATGTTCACCTTTAGATAAAATGAATTTATATGTATAATTTAAATAAATAAAAATGAAGATATGTATTTTTGTGAAAGGGTTTTTAATTAAAAAATAATGGTATAATGTAATTGAGAATTATAGTAATTAAAAAATTAATTAATTAAAAGAAATTTTTTTTGATGTTAATAGATAATTGAAATTTTTTACATTAGATGTGGTAGTTGATCGTAGAAAAGAAATTATATTAAATGTGTTAAATTTGTATTTTTTTGAAGTACTAAATTCGAGAAACTAAATTTGTATTTTTTTGTGAAAGGGTTTTTAATAAAAAAAAAATTATGGTATAATGTAATTGAGAATTATAGTAATTAAAAAATTAATTAAGTAAAAGAAACATTTTTTTTATGTTAATAGATAATTGAAATTTTTCACATTAGACGTGGTAGTTGATCGTAGAAAAGAAATTATATTAAATGTGTTAAATTTGTATTTTTTGAAGTACTAAATTCGAGAAATTAAATGTTATAATTAAAAGATTAAAAATAAATATTTAACATGGAATGTTAAAATATATTTACCCCTCGCATTTTATTTTATTCTTGAATATGGAAATTTGATATTAAAATTCTAAATATAAAAAATGTATTTTTGAGTCGAATTTAGGAAAAGAATATTATTATTTAATGAAAGTAAAATTTTATTCTTGAATATGGAAATTTGTTATTAAAATTCTAAATATAAAAAATGTATTTTTGAGTCGAATTTTGGAAAAGAATATAATTATTTAATGAAATTAAAACGGTTAAGAAACGAATATAATTATTTAATGAAATTAAAAGGGTTACGAAAAATTTTAAGATGACTGGTTATATAATAATTTGTATTTATTGTAAAATATTTTTAATTTTATAAATAATGAAAGATGAGTTTTATATTATAATTTGTATTTATTGTAAAATGTTTTTAATTTTATAAATAATAAATTTTTGGGTATAATGTATTTTTTTTTATTGTAACGTTTTGGAGATACTCCGCGCTGCGCGGAGTGTCTCAAAGGGACACTCCGCACGGAGTGATCTCTCGCGCAGCGCGGAGCATAAAGGCGCCAAGATCACCCCGCGCAGCCCGAAGTGATCTATGCGCAGTCCGGAGCGTGGTCACTCCGAGCAGCTTGGAGTGATTCTGCCAAAGGAGTCGTGCTTTCTAAATTCAAATTTTTCATGTTCTTCGAGATATTAACAAACTTGAGATTCAGTAAATGTTTTTCGAGATATTAACAAACTTGAGGTTCAGTAAGAGGAGCTGTTCAACAGCTAGTGATAGATTCAATATTTTTTGGCCAAATGAAAATGATTGAGATTTGCATGAATAAGTTTTAGGTTTCATTTTAGCTTTGATATTCATATTATTGAAGAATTTGTTGGCTGATGAATTTGTATCCAAAATATTCTTTGAATTCCTCTACATTTTTTCTTATCCCAAGACATGGTGGAAGTGATGGATTGCATGCGTTCATTCGTTTCACTATGCAGTGACAGACATGGTATGTTATACTATTCATGTATATAATGCAGATTAAATACTTGCAGTAAAGAAAAGTGACACATAATTTTGCATGATTTTCCTAATATAATAGAATTGATAAACCACATATTCTCTATACGATAAATATATTCGAAATTTATTTTCATTGGAAAGAAGATTACCTTTATTCCTGGTAGTTGAACTTAGTTTCCTTTTGAGAATTTTGAAAATTGAAAGAAAATATTTTTGAGACGTGTGAAATGGTAGTGAAAGGATGGTTAAATAGTTGAATATGGGTAGTTAAATGTGGGTAGGTAGTATTTTGAATGTTGGTTAGTAAATGTGGATAGGTAGGTTTGGATAGTAGTTTGAATGTGTTGTCTTTTCTTGATGAATTAGATATCCATATTTGAAAATAAAGTATAAGTCAATTTCGTTTTTTTTACAAGCATGCAGTTAAAAGAAAATGAAAAAACAATCAAGAGAAAAATTATGACAAATTAAGCTTTTTATATTTGACTTACAGATGCAACTACATAATTTATTTACTTATAAAGAACTTAGCTGTGTGGATTTCAAAACATTTCCAAGAAAATATAGTTATTCTTTTGCTTTCATGTCTGGATTTCATATAGAAAAAATGAAATAAATATTCAAAATGCAAATTGTTTTGATTTGTTTATTTTGGTAGATAGACGTCGGTAGATATGTTGGTAATTAATATTGATAGTTGGTAAGTAAATATTAGTAGTTGGAGTGTGTAAATTCAAATT